GTTGGACGCACACCGCTCACTAAAACGTCGTCATTAAGCACATTCTCTAGTGCATCTTTGAGTTGATTTCTTCAAGTCCTGTGAAAAAAAAAATGCTCTATATAACCAACTCCACTTTCATCTGCGCTATGCAGCCTCTCAGACCTCACTTTCTTATCGTATTCCGGCAGCGAACCATGCTGACTTCCATCTGCCGTTGTCGTTTCAGACGGTGTCTGGAAAAATTTTGGTTCGATATAAAAGTTTGAGAACGGGTGTAGCGGAAACTGGCTGCTCAGCGTGCACTAGTCCAGAAATCATATCTCAAAGATCGGTACTACCCAAGTTGGAGGGTTACTCCCAGGTTTGATAGGAGCGGTTCACTTCGGTCAGACTTGTGGGTATACACAGCTAACCCTCCTAAGTCACAGTGAGCAGAAAGTCGCTCGAAAGCCAAATTTGATTGCGTGGTAGAGTGGGTGACGTGATCCAGACAAAACCGACCCGTGACAAATCTTTATTCTTCGTCCTTTTTGACTGTAAGAGGCAGTTGAGGCATCGTCAAAGAGTGTGTTCACTCAAACTTGAATAGGACAGAAGAGCATACTGGCCCAAAAATGCAGAGCAGATCGCAAGACGCCTTCCCAACGGTCACCCTCAGGGCACTTTCATAGTCGGTCGCCCGGTCGCAACGATCGCACAGACCGCCGTCACACTCGGCGACGGACAAGCGATGGAGCGATCGCGATCGCTTGTCCGTCGCCGAGTGTGACGGCGGTCACAGCTAAATACGTATCGATAGCCTGATCGCCTGAAACGTGATCGGACGATCATACGTATCTAAACTGTGCAATCTTTACAATCGGACCATCGACTACGAAAGCGTCCATGACGCCAACCACGCTGCAGAAACAATTGGCTTATCCTGGATTAGCATGAAGTACAATGATTTTTCACCTTAATCTCTCAATTCTTAGAAATGATATAATAAATGAAAAAAGGCTTGTTCTGTAAGCTCATATGGATACCCGAAAGAAAGTGGCTACAATAAAAATGGTTGAGAGAACCTAGACACCATCCAGAAAAGCAGTACAAAATAGAATACCTTTATTGTGGTCCTGTAAGCGTCAGAGACTTTATCAGACAACATCCTTGTAGAGCCTCTGGCTAAAGCTGCACGACGAGAAATGATTGGGATAAGCGAAGAGCACTCAGCAAGGGAAAGCATTCTGAAATTGCTAAGTTTCACCTTTCCAAACCACCCGGTGACGTATCTGGAGATTTCCACGAGCTTGTCAACAACGGAAGCGACATCGCAAAAAAATGGTGCAATGGTTTGGAGGGGGGCACTCCATAAAAGGCCTCAAGGATTAGGCCTAAGCAGTAGGGGCGAACTCCGGAGAAGGAAATTGCTTCCGCACACAGGGTCCCTTCCCTCTTCAAAGGCTACATTAGGCTTAGTCGTGAAACTGAGCGTTTCTATGATCCTGACACGATGTTACTTGGTTCCGTTCCGCCTCCCCCCCACTCCTGAGCCACAATTGCGCCAAAATGGCTGTGGCTTTTTTCTCTCCAAAGATGGTTTGAGAGCTCGAAACTATCCATCTTTGACGATCTCGTTTCATAAAAACCACACGGGCAGCGAACATCAACTGGATTAAAGGTAGAACCCGTAGCATGAAGTTATTGGAAATGAGTAAGACGTTTGCAAAGACTCAAAATAAGATGTAAATATGAAGAATCAAGTGCTCACGAACGCCTTTGGAAAAGAGTGTTATAAGAGTACAAGCCCGTGACGTAATACAGCAAGCTCTGACCGTAGTTCACACACAATGCAGTTAATTTGAAGGCTAACGATGTAACGGTAGCAATGACAGTTTTGCCGAATAACTTTTGTTGTTTTGCCGGCGTCGTAAATATTTACGTGTTCGGACGAAAGCGGCAGCTCTACGATCGATGAGCGGTGCATCTCAACCAGCGCAATTTCCCAGCCCAAGGTTTACTTGCAGTTTTGAGATCGACCGTTTTCATGTTAAACTGCGGCTGGTATATGGATTAAAGAACTGGTCCAACAATTACCTGGCAGTTATTGCCCATTTAAGTGCTGTCCATGAAAATAAAAGAAGCGATGGCAAAAAATATAATCAGCTTAAATCCACACCAAAGCATGAGCGATTCCGAAAACTACAAAAAACGAAGAAATACAAAATTTTCTACGAAGTTATGACTCGGATGGACAGGAACCTGCTTCGGTAGGTAATGGCAGTACGACTGGGTATTTACGAAGCGGAGTAAATTCAACTGATTATGGAAATGACGTCATTCGGACAGATGGTTTGCTATTACTATTTATAAAGGTTCAAAACGTGATAGATAATAGACAGAACCGACCTGCTCTTGAGCAGTGACGAAATGCAACTGCAGTTGGTTGACGTGTTTTGTTCAGCCGTCCGCCGAAAGAAATAAGGGTTCAAAGAACGCGGTGATCAAACAACAGCACTCAAAAACCATCGTAAACACAATTTCTGCAAACAACAACGAAATCTAGAGAGGACGCAGTTGCAGCCTTGTAATGCCCATCTTTTCCAATAAATCTGAAACTAAAATGTAAGCAGGTTTTTAATTATTACCTTTGCTGGAGCAGGAAAAATAATAGGAATTATATAGACGAAGTTTTCTCTAGCCAGGAATGGTGCGGAAATGTCTTCAAATCTATTAATATTCGAATGAACTTGTTTTTTTACTTACATTTTGATTTCAACGTACTCATATCAGCTATTTCAGAAGACGAGAAGAGCATCGAGTGCAGACCACACACCACAAGTGACGACGGCCAAGAGAAAAAGCCACTTTTTCTTGGCCGTCGTCACTTGTGGTGTGTGGTCTGCACTCGAGGCTCTTCTCGTTTCCGAAATTGAGGGTATATAGTAAAGGTGCTAACATATGCAATTAGGGGGAGTGGTGTATGGCGCCGCGGCGCACCTCATCTCTGTGTCCTCTCAGCAAGATAATGCAAAATTGCATACTACTTCTCTAAGCA